AAAAAAAAAAAAAAAAAAGAAAAATGGAAAAGCAAGCATCCCATGCAATACTTTTTTTGAAACTAGTAGATGAACTGTTAGGCCTAGTGGACCTAGGCTAAGGCAGAAAGGTCTCAGGCCTAAGCTATAATGGAAAGATACCAGTTAACTCCTGGCAAATTTCCAGGCTGCAAGCTTTCAGAAAAATGAAATAAGTCTAGTTCACCCCCAAGATAAATGAGAAAGTACTAATTCATTTCTTGCTTCTAGTTTACTCCCAGTTTCATGGTTGCCTAACTCCCTGGGAAACAAATCAGAAGGCACCAGCTGTCCCTAGACTGACCTTTAAACGATACCAGGTGGGGAAAGTACTGAAACTAAGATGTACAGGAAAATATTAAATATTAGTTTTAGTAGAGGGAAAATATTAAAACAAAGATGCATGACATATGACTAACTGCAAAATTCTGCTTCTGTACACTGCTTGCTTGCTACCCTACCTGGATACACCTGGACAGCCTGTGTGCCAACCAGGATGCAGACCAAGGCTTTTTTAAAAACCCGACCCCTTAAGCACTCGGGGTTGCTCTCAGAAACCCCATGTTGGGACATTAAGGCAGTTGCCTGCTGGCTCTTCAATAAAAGGACTCCTCTTTAAATGTAACTTGTTTGGCAGTGTGGTTTTTGTGGAACTCCCGGGTATAACAGAACAACTACAGGCCCACATAAGAGAAAAACACAAATAAATTCAAGAAGGTGGAATTGGAGAGGGAGGTCAATAAGTTCCTACATAAAGGGTAAAAAGATAGGGGTATATGGAACACCACCTGGGTGAAGGACTCAACTACAACTAAGATATTACCTAATAAATGCAAACAACGTAACCTATTCATATGTAACCCTTATAGATATTAATTCAAAATTTTAAAAAGTGTCAACCCCCCCAAAAAACAAACAAAAACCCAATTTTTAAAACCCATTAACAAGATTGCGCTAAAATTAACCTCTGTACTATCTGTGATAAGTGGGTCAACAAAGCAAATTAATGATATAAGAAAATCCAAAAAGCCCAATCTCAACTATTATATAATTATTTACCTAAGAAATGCAGGTATTTTATTTTATTATTATTTTTGAGACAGTCTCACTTTGTCCCCTTTGGTAGAGTGCTGTGGCATCATAGCTCACAGCAACCTCAAACTCAAGCGATCCTTTTCCTCAACCTCCCAAGTAGCTGGGACTATAGGCGCCCACCACAACCCACCTCGGCCTCGTAAGTCCTAGCCACCATGCCCAGCCCAAACTCAGTTATTTTAGAATATTCATTTACATTCACAAACTGATGTCTTAATTACAAATCATCCCGAGGAGCTTTACTTAGCAAATCTCTGTAGTCTGTCTTACCTGAGTTACTACACGTTCTTTAGTTTCTTCAATTAAAAATATCTTTCTTTTGGCTCGACGCCCGTAGCTCAATGGTTAGGGCACTGGCCACATACCCTGGGGCTGGCAGGTTCAAACCTGGCTCAGACCTGCCAAACAACAATGACAACTACAACAACAATAACAAAAAAATAGCCAGCACAGCACTCTACTGAGGGCGACAAAGAGAGACTGTCTCAAAAAAAAAGAAAAAAAGAAAAAAAAAAAGTGAGGCCTTTTGGTGGGCATCTGTAGTCTCAGCTACTAGGGAGGCTAAAGTAAGAGAATCACTTACGTCTAAGAGTTTGAGGTTGTTGTTAGCTGGGACACCATGGCACTCTACCAAGGGTGACATGGTGAGACTATCTCAAAAAAAAAATTTTTTTTTTCTATAGGAACTCTCTAGTCCATTAATTTTTTCTTTCTTTTATTTATTTGTTAATTTTTTTTTTATTAAATCATAACAGTGTACATTAATACTATCATGGGGTACAGTGTACTGTTTCTGTATACAATTTGAAGTACTTTCATCCAACTGGTTAACATAGCTTTCATGTCTTTTTCTTAGTTATTGTGTTAAGACATTTATATTCTACATTTAGAGAGATTCACAAGTACCCTTATAGGATGAACCATAAGTGTGATCCTGTCAATCACCCTCCCCTCCCTCACCCCTCTTTATTTTTTTTGAGACAGAGTCTCACTTTGTCTCTCTCAGTAGAATACTGCAGTGTCACAGCTCACAGCAACCTCAAACTCTTGGACTTCAGTGATTCTCTTGCCTCAGCCTCCCAAATAGCTGGGATTACAGGCGCCTACCACAACCCCTGGCTATTTTTTTTGTTGCAGTTGTCATTGTTGTTTAGCTGGCTTGGGCGATTCCAACCCACCACCCTTGGTGCATGTGGCTGGTGCCATAATCACTGTGCTACTGGTGCTGAGCTGTCCATCAATTTTTTTAAAAACCTGATTATGTAGCCAGGTGTTGTGGTGGGTGTCTGTAGTCCCAGCTACTTGGGAGACTGAGGCAAGAGAATCGCTTAAGCCCAAGAGTTTGAGGTTGCTGTGAGCTGTGATGCTACAGCACTCTACTCAGGGCGACAAAGTGAGACTCTGACTCAAAATAAATATATATATATATATTTTTTTCTTTTCTTTCTATTACAAATGCAACACACATATATTTTAGAAATTTCAAACTGAGGTTTTAGAAGCCAAAATTTTTCTACTCAAAGATAAACGTGACTGGCAAATTCATAAACATCCTTTGGGAACTTTTCTGTGTGACTGTGTGTACAAGATTATGTGCTTACAAAAATGGGATTAAACAATCATTTACATTAATTTCTTAAACTTTCACATATTGTGACCGTATTTCCATATCTACCATAGTATCCACAGTATAAATAATGAGCTAGTCCTCTACTGTTGAACACGCAGGCATTATGAAATTTTTGCAACTATATACAGTGCTTCAATGAACATCCTTGTACATATACTACTTTTGTCCTTAGAAGATTAAAATATCTTCTGATTCTGCACACTGCATAAGTTTCATCTGTAGTTATAGCTGCTCCTTACCACTGACATCACTGCCTAAGCTCCACCTTCTGTCTAATGAGCATTAGAGCATTAGATGCTCACAGGAGCCTGAACCCTACTGTAAACTGAGCATGCAAGGGATCTAAGTGATGTGCTCCTTACAAGACTCTAATGCTTAATGATCTAAAGTGGGTCTAAGGCAGTGATGCTAGTGCCAGGGAGTGGCTGCAAATAACAGTTATCATTAGCAGAGAGGTCTGCACAGAGACCATAATAAACAAATTGCTTACAGACTCATATCAAAACTACTCCTAGGGGTGAGGGTAGGGGATGTCTTCTATGAAGCCCTGGTACCAAAAAGATTGTGGACTACTATTCCAATTCATCTTTCTCAATAATTTAGTACCTGTCTTGTTTCTCCCAAGTAATCTGAAATAACATGGTGTTGATATAATTTCAATGAACATAAAACACTTACTAGTTCAACTTTTTGGACAAAAATTCTTACCTTGCAATAACAGATTCAACTGGCATGATATCAGGCACATAATGGGCCATGGGGGAAACAAAGTGTCCATCTAGAATCTTACAGTCTGACTGCTCTTCAATCTAAAAGAAAATCAAAACTAAAATGTATACAGGTAGACTAAGATATCTTGGTCTATCATGAATAATTTCCTAATAAAAAGTTCTATTCAATTAAAATTATTTTTCAATGCCTACTACTATATCCTTTTTGCTCCCTCTCTGCCCCATGCTTTCTAAAAACACGATTCCTACCCACACACATTTTGTTCTTTTCTACACCCTTTGTTACGATTTAGTTGGGAAAATAAACTACAAATAAATCTCACTCATACATTGACATGCAATAACTTAAAATACTAGTTAAGAGAATTCAGCAACATTCAACCATATAAAATAATAATAAGAACAATTTACAAATTGCAAGAATAATTTACCATCATCAAATAAGAGTTGACATCAAGTATGTTGATATTTAAATCATTAGACATCAAATGGTTCAATATAAAATAATCTACTGGTATAATGAGTCACATCAACATAGTAAATAAGAAAAAAGTGATTTCTGCATATACAAGGTATTTGCTAACATTTAATACCTATACTTATGTTTCCCCTCAAATATATATAATTATTTATTTTAAAAACTCTGTTTCAGGGCATTAGTCAAAATTAAAAGTAACAGTAAACTACCATGTATTTTCATTAAAATCTGAAACAGAAATCCTTACTCGTGGTTGCTAAAATACCTTCAGCTTTTTTTAAAAAACACAAATTCTAGCCAATCGTGCAATTCTCATTTATTAAATAATCCACATTTTTTTATAACTAACTTAAAATAGTATTTATCATATACTAAATTTCCATAAACTTCTGCAAGTTATTTTCAATCCCTTATTAGATCTTATTAGCCTTTTATTTCTGTACCAATATCATGCTGTAGTGATACCTGCAGCTTTATAATATTCATTAATACATGACTGAACTAGTCTTTCCTTAGCACTCGTTTTCAGAGTATTCCTCAACTGATTGTCCTCTCATATATCTAACTCAAATTATTGTAAGATGCTTTTATGAATCTAAGTTCTAAACTAAATACTTTAATTGGACAGTTATTACATTTTAAAAAAATGCTTAAGGAGCATTAATAATGCTTCAGATTATTAAATTTTTAATAATCTTTCCATTTATTTATTTATTTAGAGACAAGAGTCTCAAGCTGTCCCCCTGGGTAGAGTGCTGTGGTGTCCCAGCTCACAGCAACCTCAAACTCTTGGGGTTAAGCAATTCTCTTGCCTTAGCCTCCCAAGTAGCTAGGACTAAAGGTGCCCGCCACATCACAGGGCTATTTTTTTTTGTTGTTGCAGTTGTCATTGTTGGTTTTGGCCCCCGGGGCTGCATTCAAACTCTCCAGCCTTGGTGTATATGTCCGGCGCCCTACACACTGAGCTATTGGCACTGCCCTCCTTTCCATTTTAGTCTTTTTTTGTGAATATTAGTATAGGTTTCAAGTTTTCTTATATACAAGGTGGCCATAAAGTTCATCTGCAACTCAAATAGTTAATCTGGACAAACTTTATAGCCATCCTGTATTTTAAAAGAATAAGTTTTTTGATAAAGGAACAGAAGAAATGAATACATTATTATTTAATAAAGGAGGCATAACAAACTACTATGGAAGAGAATAATAATTTAGCAGATAGCATTTGGATAGCTGACAATTTGGTAAGAAAAAGGAATTTTAGACCTACACATCATAATATACATATTAGAGATTTTAAAATTAAGCAAGCTATAGCTCAACAATAAAAAGATGAATAACTTAATTTAAAAACAAGCAAAGGGGCCAGGCGTGGTGGCTCACGCCTGTAATCCTAGCACTCTGGGAGGCCAAGGCAGGTAGATTGCCTGAGCTCACAGGTTCAAGACCACCCTGAGACAGAGCAAGACCCCTGTCTCTAAAAATAGATGGGTGTGTGGCTGGCACCTACAGTCACAGCTACTTGGGAGGCTGAGGCAAGAGAATCACTTGAGCCCAAGAGTTTGAGGTTGCTGTGAGCTATGATGTCTCAGCACTCTATCCTGGGCAACAGAGTGAGACTCTGTCTCCAAAAATAAATAAATAAATAAATAGAAATAAAATAAATAAACAAGCAAAGGATATGAAAACACATTTTTCCAAACAAGATATCCAAATGGCCTATAAGCACATGAAAAGATATTCAGTTTCATTGTCATTAGTGAAATGCTAGTCAAAACCACAATGAAATACATTTAGACCCACATGGATGGCTTGAACAAGTACAAATGTTGGCAAGAACATGGCAAAATTGGAACACTTATATACTGGTAGTAAAAATATAAAAATGGGGCAGTCACTTTGGAAAACAGTTTGACAATTAGTTCATCAAAAATTAAATAATTACCAGTGTACATACAAGAGAACTGAAAACATATTCACACAAAAAGTTGTACATGAATTTTCCTAGCAACATTATTACAATAGCCAAAAAAATGGAAGCATTACAAATACCCATTGACTTATGAACGGATAAACAAAATGTGGGATAACATGACAATGAATACCACAGAAAAGAATGAAGTTTTTATTGAATGATACAACATAAATAAACCTTCAAAACATGCTAAGTGAAAAAGCCAGACACAACTGGTCACACAGTGTATGATTCCATTTATAAGAAATGTCCAGAATAGGCAAATCCATGAACAGAAAGCAGATTAGCGATTGCCAGAAGGTGATAGGGGCAATAGGAAGTGACACTGAATAGGTACAGGGTTTCTTTTTAGGACTATGAAAATTTTCTGGAATTAGATAGTGACAAGGGAGATGGTCATACACATTGGTAAGATAATTAAGAAACGAATCAACTGTGTACTTTAAAAGGGTAAATTATATGGCATATAAATTATATCTCAATTTAAAAAAAAATAAGGGTGAAGGGTCTATAAGAATGTATTCTAAAATCTTAACAGTAATTCCCCTTTGGGAAGAAGATAGAATTAGGTGGTAGAAAGTGGCAGAGATTAAAGGAGACTTTTCATTTTTACTTTTTAGCCTGTAATTTTTAATAGAAAAAATAGAGAATATAGAAATATTTAACAAAATTTCAGAAGATACGAAGGGACAACTATGATGTAAAGGGAGGATTTTCAATTTATTCAATTTATAAAACACTGGCTTTTAACAGTGGAACTCTTTTGAAAAAAGAAATCTAAATATATGTAATACACAAGAAATACAGATAAAATTACTTTGGTTGAAGGGAAGTGAAGAATATATGAAGCCCATCCATTTTATTCCCTCTCCAACAATACCTCAAAGTATCCAATTACATAAACCTAGAAATATTATACAGAAAATCAGTTGGCTGCTTAAAAATCAAAATATAAAACATTCTTTTTTTCTCGAATTTTATGGCATTTTCTTTCTACCATTTTTGCAGCAATTAACTATATCTGATAACATTTTCCCTGGTACTATTTAACAGTTTTTTGCTAGTAACTCCTTACATGTTGATTCTCCAACTAGATTACTGCATTTTAATGCTTATTAGTCTTCTATAATATTGCATTATTTTCTTTAACTCTCCTAAGCATAAAGATATAAAATCAGACCTGGAAAGAGTCAGCCTAAATACTTTCCAATATTTGGTTAAGTACTAAATATATGCTCCCAAATATATATGAATATAGTTATTAAAAATACTCAGGGTACAAATAGTATTCTTTAAATGCTGGGCTTTAAATGAAAAATCCATACTTCACTCATGTTTTCATGTTTATTGTTATATTTCAACATATTTATGTTAAATTAGAATTTCTACAATTGTATTTCTTTTATTTGAATACCTTATCGATATATACTGGATAATCCTTTGAAACCAGATTCTGGCATCTTTCTCGATTTCCAATCACCTTTCTGAATTCAAAGAGTCTATTATGGGAAACAAGACAAAAAGGAAAACAATTCAACTTTTATATCATCTATTTTACCCATTATAATTGAGACTGAAGAATAGTAGTTAAAAATTAGCAAATCTAGTTCATAAGCCATTATTAAAATTTAATTTTGATGATTAAGAAAATATTAGACTGTTGCTTTTTGTCAAACTGGACACTTCTCTCAGAAAAATGTGAGGAACAACAGTGTTCAAAAAGTAATTAACACATATAAGACTCAAAATTAAAGGTATCAATCCTAAAAATGCATTTTCTTTAGGCCATATTTTTATATGAGCTACAGTGTAGTCCAGTTTTATAGCCATTACAAATTCAGCTCACCCAAGAAAACTCAGTCCCTGGATACCACATACAACTTTAATCAGCTTAATAATTATTGAAGTTAAAAATCTAGTTTATGGGCCATTGCTCACATCTGTAATCCTAGCACTCTGGGAGGCCAAGGTGGTTGGATCACTTGAGCTTGGGAGTTCGAGACCAGGTTGAGCAAGAGTGAGACCCTACTGCTAATGAAAATAGAAAAACTGAGGCAAGAGGATTGCTAGAGCCCAAGAACTTGAGGTTGCTATGAACTATAATGCCACAGCGTTCTACCCAGGGAGCCAGAGTGAGACACTATCTCAAAAAAAAAAAACAAACCCAAAACTTGATTTTATGTTTCTTTTTCTTTCTTTCTTTTTTTTTTCTTATTGAGACAGAGTCTCACTTTGACACCCTTAGTAGGTGCCGTAGTATCATAGCTCACAGCAACCTAAAATTTTTGAGCTCAAGCAACTCTGCCTCCTGAGTAGCTGGGACTACAGAAGTCTGACACCACACCCAGCGATTTTTAGAGATGGGGTTCTTTCTCTTTCTCAGGCTGGTCTCAAACACCTGAGCTCAAGTAATCCATCAGCCTAGGCCTTATTTTATGGTTCTAAGAGCTCTTTATTTTAATACCTGAATTATTTTTATAGTTGTCCAATTTTTGATGATATGGGCTAAAAATGAAGAGAAATGACTAAAAAGACTAAAGGAAATAATTATATTTTATATAGTTTAATTTGCTGGACAATCAGTCTGTATTTGAGCATAGAGGATTTTATAACAAATAAAATTTTAAATATTTACTAAAATAACAAATTCAGGACAGTATTTAAGAAAAAAAATGCTTACCTTTTGAGATCTTCTGGTCTTCCCCATCCTCTGATAAAAAGTTTTGTAAGGAGAAGTCTCCGATAAAGAACATCTAACTTGCTTACACCCATTAGTAGCAAACAAGCATCTGTGAAAACAAAATTTAAAAGAACCCTAAAATATTTTACTTATGAAGGCAGTAGGTCAATTTCCTAATCATTTCTTTGAATATTAAGTAAAATTAAAGACAGAGAAAATCCTTGAATGAATTCCTCTGGAAACAAGATAAAAGATTCAGAAAAAAAGAACTGAGTTGAAAGTAGAAAGATATACACTCTTGAACTTCATTAAACTATGAATTCCTCTAGGGTAGGAAGGATCTTCCCATCCTCAGTACAATGACTAAAAAGTACCCACTAACTGTTGGATGTCAGTAGCAGCGGATGATATTTATGAAGTACTATATTATCTGCCAGGAACTATTTTAAAACTACAGACATACACACACATTCTCTCCCTCCCTTTCTCTGTCTGTTTCTCTTGCTCTCTCATTTAAACTTGCCAACAGCTCTGAGGAAAGATTATCCCAAGGATATGGAAAGAAAAATAAGGCACAGAAAGGATGGATGATCTTTCCTAGTTACATAGCTAGTGGGAAACAGCTAATATTCAATCCCAGGCACACGGCTCAAGACCTAAATAATGCACTGCACTGCTTCTCCACTACACTATAGTGAATAATAACAAATTCCTGCTACTAATCGTATACCATTCATCTGCCTTTCTCAGATATTTCTAAAGGTTTTAAAATATCTACTTCCATCTTTTCACTCACTGATGGAAATGCAAATTTCCATTTTTCCATTTATCTAAACAGGGTAATCCTTGAACCTGAATCAGGTCTTTTTCACAAGTTAAAACTATACCATTAAACTTGGAAAGATAAGATTGAATATTAGCTCTGTTTTCCACTGTGTGACCTTGTATAAATCTCTGAAACTCCTGACTGAAAGCAGAGGAAATCTGTGCTCTTTTCTGTTATCCTTCTAACTCTTGTAAATTATATAAATTCTATATTGTTAGGACTTACATTCATATTCTTAGACCCAGAGGTTGTTGTATTTGATCATTACTAATCCTCTTGCAATAATTTATAAGTTAGAAGATAAAGAAACAAGATAGAAAATCAAAGAGAAATCAAAATAATTCTTTAAGAACAATAATAGATATTTTAGATGGGTTGATAACAAGAAGTTACCACAAATTAGAAAAAAGACACATCTCAAGCATGTAAGGAAAAAAAAAGAACATTTGATAAAAACAGCTTCCAGAATTATAAAAAAATTAAAGACTATACGGAAACATCCTTAACCTAATATAAGATATATAATAAAAATCTGCAGTAAACATATTTAGGCACATTTTCTTAGGACCTCTTGAGACCATGTGGTCTGGGCTATAGCTTACCCATACTTGGCTTAGAATAAACCTCTTTAAATTATATATATTTATAAGTAATGATAATTAATGATAAAACTTCAGATACACACTCTTTTTTTTTTTGAGATGTAGTCTCATTTTGTCACCTTCTGTAGAGTGCCATAGTGTCACAGCTCACAGCAACCTCAAACTCTTGGGCTCAAGTGGTTCTCTTGCCTCAGCCTCCCAAGGTGGGACTACAGGCTCCCTGCCCCCACAACGCCTGGCTATTTTTAGAAATAGGGTCTCACTCTATTTATTTTTTTGAGACAGAGTCTCAAGCTGTCCCCCTGGGTAGAATGCAGTGGCATCGTAGCTCACACCAACCTCCAACTTGGGCTCAAGTGATCCTCTTGCCTCAGTTTTTCTATTTTTAGAGATGGGGTCTCGCTCTTGCTCAGGCTGGTCTCCTGAGTTCAAGCAATCCACTAGCCTCGGCCTTCTCAGTAGCTGAAACTACTCACATGTGCTGCCACACCTGGCCACTTCTTATTTTTTTGTACAGACAGGGTCTCACCAATCATTCAATCAATCATGCCTATGTAATAAAACCCCAATGAAAACTCTGGATGTTAAGCATCAGTGGAACTTTCTGGTTATTGAACACCCTGACTCCAAAGGGAGAAAGTCATAGCAATTCCACATTGATTCCCATATCTTGCCTCATATGTCTCTTATTTGGGCTGTTCCTGAGTTAGATCCTTTATAATAACCTATAATTTTAAGTACAGCAGTTTCCTAAATTCTATGAGTCATTCTAGCAAATTATGGACTCACATGGCTCTTAGAAAAAAACCCTAAATTCATATACAGTTGTTTAGAAAGGTCAGTGGTCTGGAGACCTAGAAATGAGTATAAAGGACTGAGCCTTTAACTTGTGGGTTCTACACTAACTTTAGGAGGTTAGCATCAGAACTGAATTTAAAGTGCATCCATTTGGTGTGAAAATTGAAGAGTCAGTTCATTCTTTACCTGATTACTAAAGTTCTTACCTGATTACTAAAGTTCTTATTAGTGATATAATCCAAATAAAAGGCCAACTGTATGGATATATTCACAGGTTGGCAGAATTAAAGGAAATTCTGGGTGATGAATGATGATTTTAATTATTTTACTTGTTAAAATAGATAGTATTGCTGGATCTTTTATGTGTATTTATTAAAATGCAGTAGAACAGTAGAATGTTATTATAATGCAGGACTTTATCATGTTTTGCAAGTATTATAGGCCACTTACTCTCTTGACAGTGGCAGAAATGACCTAGGATTAATATCTTACTGTGTGACATTCATGGCATCAACAGCAATAAACAAACTACATGATAGTAAAAAAATAAAAAATACACTCCTTTTTTTTTTTTTTTTTTTTTAAAAAAAGACAAGAGTCTCACTTTGTTGCCCAGGTTACAATGCCATAGTATCTCAGTCTAGCTCACAGCAACTTCAAACTTCTGGGTTCAAGTGATCCTCTTGCCTCAGCCTCCTAAGTAGTTGGGACTACAGGCTCTGATACAACACATGGTTAATTTTTCTACTTTTAATACAGAGAGGGTCTCCCTCTTGTTCGGGCTGGTCCTGAACTCCTGAGGTCAAGTGATTTCCCACCTCAGCCTCCCAGAGTACTAGGATTACAGGAGCAAGCCACTGTGCCCAGCCTCAACACTCATGCATTCCAAATCTAAGGCCATCATATTCCTTATATTCCTTGCTATCTTTAGTTGCCAATAAACAACTAACAAACAAGGAACAAAAAGCAAATCAAACACATGTATCTTTTATTATAAATTTGGGTCTGGAGTTTGGGGTTATACAAATCTTCTTAAATCCCATTTCAGCCCCAAGAACAACCTAAAAGGGGTTTTCTAGAACTCTTTAAACATGTAGGTCTTTCTGAGAAGAGCTGGCTTGATTCAGGGCCACCACAAACAGATTATGATGCAAGCTGAGAGTAAAGGTAACTCCAATTTACCAAAAGGAGGCACTATCTGGAGACATGCCAGGTACTTAAAGTTCCCACATTAGGCTGGACTGACAACAATTAATTTCTCCAGAAACAGGACCCACTTTTGATGTGTGTCAAGCCAAACTGACACAACTGTCATCCATGTTTTTATGTAGTCAATGTGAGAGGCAAAAACAAAGTGAAACAGAAATAGAAGTTCCACCACGGTGCCAAGGAATGAAACATCTTTCCTAGAAAAGAGTTCTATTTATTGCTAAAGTGGCACTCACCATCTATTATGCCATCTAGGACTTTTAATCTCCTATCACTCTGGTACCTAAGTTTTATGTTGATATATATCTCAAAGGCATAAATGAAGTTTTTAAAAATACCACCAACTACACAAATTTAATCCCCCACCAAAAAGAGAGAGCTAATTTTTTATCTTGTACTTAACTTTTACATTTCTATCCAAGTTTAAGTTAGCTAAAGATACCTCAGATATCCCCTTTTAAGATCTGCAACAAATTTAATTCTTTTTAATCTTACACTGAAGAAGAGTAAGCAAATAGGAAGTTTGTTTATTTGTTTGGGAGGGGTGTAGACATCTATTCAAGGCAGTCATCTAAAGAAAACCAGCCAATGGATTGTCTCATACGCTTGTGTGAAAGAAACATTGAGGAAATGATCTAATCTCTTTTCAAAATTAGCTCTTCTTTTTCCATGGGCTTTAGAAATATTTGTATGTTTAAGAAAGATGACAGAAAATAAAATATATGTATATATTTTAATGTTTACTTTGGATGCTACGTGTGTGTGTTCCTAAGAAACATTTTTTCCCCATTGATACAATACACAGAGCTTTTTTAGATTTTACCAGCTGTACATGTACTCATTCCATGTGCTTCTGTGGTCTGAAGTCATCACTTGGAGGTAGCAATGGAAAAAAGCAGTGTCAGAAGACCAAGGCTCCTCCATTGGGTAAGTGACCTTGAGTAAGTCACCTTGATCTATAAACAGGAAGTAATGCCTGGCCTAATACATAATATCAAATTATTATATTCCATTTACATAAAAACTGAATACCTGTTTTGATATTTTTATTTATTTTTTAAACAGGGTGTTGTTCTGTTGCCATTGCTAGAGTATCATGGCATCATTATTACTAACTGCAACCTCAAATTCCTGGGTTCAAGCCATCCTCCTTCCTCAGCCTCCCAAGTAGCTAGGTGAAACTAGAGGGACACACTAGCATGCTGGGCTAAGTTTTTCTTTTTTGTAGAAATGGGACCTCACTATTGGGCAGGTGAGTCTCAGTTGTGGGCTCAAGAGATCCTCCTACCTTGATCCTCCCACCTCAGCCTCCCAAAATATACAGTTACAGGTGTGAGACCCATGCCTGGCCTCTGTTTTGGTATTTTTAAAGAGATACAGGGAAAGATTCTTCTTGCCATACTTTTCACAGGAAGCCTGGTGGTAAAGAGCACACAGGCTTTATAGTCAGGAGCCCTATGTTTCTTGAATTCTAGCTCTCTTGTTAGTTAATATTACCCTAGGATCCTAGACAACTTACTAAATCTCCTTGCTTACTTGAGACCTCAGAGGATTGTTGTAGGGATGAAATGAAGTAATGAAATAAGCATTCACCTAATATATACTTACCTAGCAACCATTCTGCTTAGTGTAATACTGGTTAAAAGTTCCTCTGTCGGCTCGGCGCCTGTGGCTCAAGCCGCTAAGGCGCCAGCCACATACATCTAAGGTGGCAGGTTCGAATCCCCAGCCCGGGCCGCCAAACAACAATGATGGCTGCAACCAAAAAATGGCCAGGCGTTGTGGTGGGCACCTGTAGTCCCAGCTACTTGGGAGGTTGAGGCAGGAGACTCGCTTGAGCCCAGGAGTTGGAGGTTGCTGTGAGCGTGATGCCATGGCACTCTACCCAGGGGGATAGCTTGAGGCTCCGTCTCAAAAAAAAAAAAAAAAAGGTTCCTCTGTCCACTATAGTATATGTGCCATACACTGCTATCCTCTATGGAACAAAACACTACAATATAGTAAAGCAACATTATTGCAAGAAAATACTAAATTTTATACTTATGTATCTTCTCGCAACCAATTATAGGAATCTGACATGTTTTGAGAGCTTACACATGACTTTGCAAGACTAATCCAAGTATAAAATATCAGCTCTGGATTCAGAAGATAATTTTTAACTAGTAGAAAACACATTTCTAGTCTGTCTGTTACCAGATTGACTACACCCAAAGTCACAAATGAGACAAAGATCAGAGGTGATGGCGCATACCACACAGTGTGTAACTATTTCTAAGACCTATCATAGGGTAAGTGCTCATAAATATTAGTTGAAAAGATTGTGTTTGGGTCCCAATGCTGCATTTCCACACCAAGTGACTCTTAGTTAACTTCTCTGGACCTTAGTTTTGAGTAAAATGGAAGTGTCTGCTTTACCTATCTCGTGATAGTTATCAAATGAAACCACATGATAATGTATCTAGCGCTAATAAAAGGGTAATTTATAAATACATAATGCCTACCACCACCAATTAGCCCATAAGCCTAATTGTAGTGATATTAACGTGTAATCTCCAGGAAAGAAACAGCATCGGAAAAAACTATATTGAGTGAAAAAACTCAATATATTTTCTAAAAATATCCATCTTCCCTGTGATGAAAGGAGCTGGTCGTTCCTAATCAGGTGTTGTGGCTTTCTATTTTAACTCCCAGTTCACAAGAACAGGCTCCATGGAATAACACTTTACTACAAGACGGAGAGAACTACCACCACCACCACCCCCACAGAGAATGCGGTTGGCGGTGAGGTGAGGAAGGATGGGGACCTTCAGTTCTGGTTCTCACAAGCACTACAGGTAAGGCGCCTTTGTAGTTAGCCGAGATAAAGGAGAGTTCGCAGCAACGGGGAAAAGGGACTGACCTCCCGCCTCTCCCCGGCCAGAGTGTGCTCCAGACGCCAGCCTCGTCTCCCACCAGCACCTTCGTCTTCATCCAGGCCCCGCGCATCTCCCGCCAAGCCCTGAGCACCCAGCCCCTGCCTCCCGGCACGTACACAGCTGCGCGCTCAGAAGCGCGGAAAACGCGACCTGGGCCGGCTACTTACTGGTAGCTGGGAGGACGCCTGCGGTCGGGCAGTCCAGGCCTCCCAGCACTACTGCTCTCGGGGATCCAGGGACTCGACTTTCGTCCGAGCCCCAGCCACAACAACCGTAGACTTTGCAGGAACCGTGGTGCGAGGGACGCCGGACTAGCAAGCTGAGCAAAGAGGACGAGCCTGGGACTCGACGGCCGTTTGGACCCGCCCCCGAGTCCTCCTCAACCCCACCCACCTCAGGCTGTGAGGCGCGGACCGAGGGAGGAGGCCCCGGACACAGAGCCCCGCCCCCTACCCCTTCTAGCCCTGTGCGGCCGGACCTGCTGCGTGACCCCGCCTCTGACCCGGGGACGCCCCGCCCACTTCTGGCGTCCGCATGCGCACGCGCACTTGCCGGCCGGTTTTGACAGCTTCAAGGTTCCCGGGATGGGAGGAAGCAGGTGTCGCGAGAGTTAATCGCTTGAAGCTTTGTGGGGCCTGTAACCAAGGCTAGTCTGGGGATGGAGGAAGAACAGGAGCCACTTTTAGGCGACCGCACACCCGGAAGCAGGTGAGCAGTTTCTGGTGAAAGCATCCGTCACTCTTCTGCCCTGTTCGGACTGACTCCTTTCTGGGAGTCAGGCTCACAGAGCCGAACCCTCACGGCCAGAGTGGTTCCATTGCGGCAGGAGCCGGAGGCCGATCGTGCGAACCCAGGATATTCACTCCCAGTTGCGGAGAAAGGGAGTCTAGTCCTGCGGACCAGTGATGGTTCGAGTTGATGGTGCTAGGAAATCCACGCTGCCTCTTTAACTTATCCTGTAACAAAATTGCAGCAGCCGAGCTACTGCATTCTGTATCAACTACCGGTATAGCTGATGACTTTCCACATTTCACAAAAGTTCCAAAATTATTATTTTAATCAATACTTGAAGATAACAGTCTTAGCAATGACCTACCTGATTGCTTGATAACTTTGTAAATAGATCTATCTAAAATGGGCTCAAATGTACAAATAAAAACTAATTTTTAGGAATAATGTGTTGACATTTTGAGCCTTATAATTTCGATTATTTTGATCCTAGTTTATGGGCAGTGATTCTTAAATGTTTGCACTTTGTCTCACTATACAGTTATGTATTTTTACCTTTAGGAAAACAGAATTAAAATATTATTTTACTTGAAACAGGTATAATAATTTTATCAACTAAAGTAACCAGTAATACATAGTTAAATCTCATCTGTCTACTACCATGTTAATTTTTACTAATTTGTCCTTTTAATCACCTAACCTTTTTTTTTTTTTGCAGTTTTTGGCCAGGGCTGGGTTTGAACCCACCACCTCTGGCCTTTGGGGCCGGTGCCCTACCTCTTTGAGCCACAGGCATCACCCCAATCACCAAACAAGGGCAACATAGTGAGATTCTGTCTCAAAAAAAAAAAAAAGAAAGAAAACCCAAAAAACTGTCATTTTATCTTTCCCCTTAATAAATTCAGAATTTATTTTTGCAACTATAGTACCGATACCTACCCTAGTCTTCTTGTACTGGATCATGTCTTGTACTAGATCGATTGAACCTAATTATGGCACTTTTAAAATTCATTCCTGCTAAATTTTTATCTTATTTTGGTGATTAACTCACCCAAGTATATTGTGTATGCCTCTTTTTAAGCCAGTCAAATTTAGCAGTTGTGGGTTGTACACATATACCAATGTTAGTGATGCTTCTGATAAACCACTAGCGTTGGACCAGCTTCCCCGTCATTTGGAGTATTTCAGTTTGGAATGTTTCACTCAGGGAATGTTGAACAATATAAAGCCCTGTAACACTGCAATTTTACTTGAAGGAAAATCTTAAATGGAAAACCAATAGCAGATTACAGCAGTGAAAATGAAAAGGAATCAAAAAATGTTGAACAAATCACTTTGGAAGTGTAGCATTCTTTTTTGTACTGTGGTGATCAAGAAAGATGCCTCTAGAATTTCAGGCTTAGCCATGTGACATATTTGTATGAATCATCAAAGTTAAGAAAATGTAATAAATATGGTAACTTGATTGTAGGACAATTGTATTCTCCTATTTTTCTATTTTCTCCAAGGAGGTAGAAAGATAAATTTATTCACCTTAATTATACTTTTTGAATTAAAAATAAGGAAGAAGCAAAATGTTTTATAATAAACACCTGTATATCCTGTCACTGTTAGTCTTTTCCACACTTCTCATATTTCTTTCCACACACACATTAATGCAACACATTCCCATTCCTATTTTGCCAAGCTACCCAAAAGTAGGTTGCAGACCTTGTGACATTTAATCCAAATACTTTATTGTAGTCTGCATCTCCCTAGAACAAAGAAATTCTTTTACACAACTCCACTGCTGTTACTACAACTAGAAATACAGTACCAATTCAAGAATATCATGCAACATATAGTATATTACAGTTTTTTCCAATTATCCCAGAAATGTACTTTATATTCTAAAAAAAGAAAAAAGCCAAGTATGCTTTGGTTGTTATGTCTTTTTATTTTATGTTATGTTATTATTTATTTATTTATTTTTTGAGACTTTCTTGCCCTCAAAGAGTGCAGTGATGTCATAGCTCACAGCAACCTCAAACTCTTGGGCTGACGTGATTCTCTTGCCTCAGCCTCTCAAGTAGCTGGGACTACAGGCACCCGCCAAAATACCCAGCCATTTTTAGAGACGAGGTCTCGCTCTTGCTCAGGCTGGTCTTGAGCTCATGAGCTCAGGCAGTTCACCTGCCTCGGCCTCGCAGAGTGCTAGGATTATAGGCATGAGGCCTTGGGGTCTCACTCTTGCTCAGGCTGGTCTCTAAATCTTTTTAGACTCCCTCAACCTAAAATTGTTAGTGCAAAGATGTGTGTGCCTCTTTTTAAGCTAGTCAAATTTAGCAGTCATGGGTTGTACAGCTCCTTTAAGAAGTCTAGGTCAGTTTTTCTGCAAAGCTTCACATACTCTGGATTTATGAACTGTTTATTGCTGAACAGATCCTACTCAAACATTTCAGGCAAGACTGTCACATGGATTATGTGGAGAACATCCACATCAGGAGATACAGGATGCAAGGCCAAGATTGACCAGTGTTAAGAGAATCGCTGCTATGTCTCTTAATTATAAAGGTTCATATTCTATTTTGTGATTAGTAAGTAGACAGTGGCATGATAATTTGAGACCCTTTGACTATCCTGTCCTCAACAACGTTTCAACTAGTTGTTTTAGCATACATTGATGATCCTTACTTTCATCCACTATAACATGGAAAATGGGCATTAAATTATGATTTTCTGATTGTCTCTTCAAAATTTATTATTTGTTATTAAAAGAAGATTTTTGACTGAGCTTCAGATCAAGTTGAAGTCACTCAAGTTAAGTTTTTTCAGAATCAAATAATTTCCTTCTTAATTCACCAACTTAGGTAAGATCTAAGCAAAATAGTAACGGTTATTTGAAAATTTTTAGGCTGATTTTAATGGTAGCTCTTATTAAGTGATTATAAGCTTAATTTGTGATCTCCAAAAAATAATGAGTTCATTAAAAATATAATACTAATCTGTTACCTTAAAATGATACCAGTGCTATGGTATTAAGTGGTATCAAGCATACTTTTTACTAGTATGTAATTATCTGCATTGTGTTTCCACATACTGACATATTGACATCAAAGTATGGGCATCTGGGGTTCTTGCATTTTTTCAGATATGCTACATTATGATTAAAGATCTGTTTATGTGGAATAGCATATATAGTGTTAAGCACTTGGAATATATTACATCATGAACTAGTAAATACTTGCTACATAGCAGATCAAAAAAATGTTACTTCTCTTTTTTTTCTTTCCTCTCTCTCATGGCCAACCACATCACATTTGAAAAAGAGTTCTCTTGGGCGGTGCCTGTGGCTCAATGAGTAGGGCACCGGCTCCATATGCTGAGGGTGGTGGGTTCAGACCCAGCCCTGGCCAAATGGCAACAAAAAATAGCTGGGCGTTGTGGTACACGCCTGTTGTCCCAGCTACTCAGGAGGCTGAGGCAAGAGAATCACTTAAGCCCAGGAGTTGGAGGTTGCTGTGAGCTGTGTATGGCCACAGCACTCTACGAAGGGCGATAAAGTGAGACTCTGGCTCTACAAACAAAAAGAAAAAGAGTTCTCTTTCTCTCTCTTTTTTTTTTTTTTTTTTTTTTTTTTTTGAGGTAGAATCTCACTTTGTTGCTCTGGGTAGAGTGTTGTGGCATCACAGCTTACAGCAACCTCAAACTCTTGGGCTCAAGTGGTCCTCTTGCCTCAGCCTCCCAAGCAGCGGGAACTACAGGTGCCTGCCACAACACCTGGCTAGTTTTTAGAAAAGGGGTCTTGGTCTTGCTCAGGCTAGTCTCAAACTTCTGAGCTCTCAGCCTCCCAGAATGCTAGGATTATAGGTGTGAGCCACTGTGCCCAGCCAAAAAGTTCCTTTTTTGAAGACTGATTTGACAATTCTAAGGTTTATTTTAGGAAGTAATCTTGGAACATAAAGCATTTTGTCTGTTATGCATATCTCAATTAATTGAAAATATAACGCTCACATTAAGGTCAATTTGTTAACTTTGTGTGTATATGTGAAGATGTAATGAGTACAAACATTCATGTATCTCCTATTGGAGGTGTGACATCTAGTTAGTCCAGGCTTATTCAAAAGATCAACTTTATCTGGAAGGTTGTGGTCTCTCTTTGGTCTGAGTATGCTAATAGAATTTATCTGGTAATCCATGTTGGAGCAAAAGCAACTATTACAGGAGGTCCCAGGGATAGGAATGTCTTAGGTCACATCTCACCTTCCTGGTCTTTCATCTATATTCATTTTGCTGAAGTACCCATCCAAACAGCTTCCTGTAGCATGGTTTATTTGTTGTTATCATGTAGAGGAGTGTTTTTCAATCTTTTTTTATATCATGGCACACCTATAGGTTTAATCTATAGTTAAACTTCTGCAGCACACTTAAATTATGTTGATCTAAAAAAAAAAAAAGAGTACAAAAAGTGTTGTGTGATGTTCTTTCTCGCGGGGAGAGAAGGACGGCTTGGCCACGGGTGCAAACTCGCTCCTAGAATTGTTTAAAAGCAAGAAACGACTACACACTCATAGGTGGCATGTAGCAAAATGTCTTTATTTTCTACTTCCTTTTATTGGGAGTGAGTCACG